CGGCTTCTCTCTCGCAGTTCACACTCCAGTTAGGATAGAGCTCAATGCTCTGAAGTAAAAAAAACAGAAACGGAACAGACTTCCGGAAAAAAGAAAAAGAAACAAAAGAACGAGAAATATTACCAGACAGAATGGCCAATCATGCAACAGAAAAAATAATTATCCTCAACAATTAGCTTCTTTCAACATTAAGTAACAGCTTTAGTAAGTTAAAGACTATTTTGAAGGTTTTATGGGAATATTTAAAAAGCATACGTGTCAAAAAATTCATATAAATCAAATAATTGTATAATACAGGAAACTTCAGAATAATACAAGTTCCTGCAGTGCGTTCAAGGTATTGCAAGACTTTTTTTTATATAATGCGATTCTAGCTATAGTGAGTAATGAGTAGACTTGTCTCAGGGACCCATTTCTTTTTTTTTGTTAAAACTTATCAAATCCTGTAGTTTTTAACCTGAAAAGTCCGAAAATGCAAGTTAAAAGTTTAGGAAACCAACAGTTTAAAAGATACGGGTATATAAAGATGTGTATCTTTGGCGTATTTTGACAGGTTAGTACGACGCCATATTGCCTCTACCCATGCTCTGATTGGTTTGCATTTTTTTTGTTTTTTTGTTATGCCATATGTTATTTATATTACTTGTGTCATAGAGGAAAATTTTCAAATAAGACGATTTTCTGAAACGCGATTTTATAGAACGCGTAATGTGTTATGACAGTTTAGTGTATGCTGTATTACCGACAGAGTAATTATATTACCAAGAGAGAACTCTATAATACCGATGGCGAACGTTACACCTCTGTTGCTATACTTATAAACAGAACGGCTAGTACAACCAACCATTGAGAGGTTTACCACATGACAATTCGTTTGTTTATATTTATTCCAAATCTGTGCGACTGCGTCCACTTCATCTCTATTTGGAACTTCAGTTGAGTTTGATTTGAAATGAACATCGTTCGAAAGAAGCCAAATTGCAGATTTCAATTAAAAACAAATTTGTAAAAAATATGAATTTTAGGAGCGCGAATTATCAGCGATATGAGATCGTGTAGAATTTCTCTTTGGATGTTTCGAAGACGGTGAGGTCGAACGTGCAACGGATACCATAAAAATGCTTTATACCGTAATAAGAAGGTACGTAACAGTGTGCGACTAATGTAATTACGCGCGTAATCGCGATGGGTTTCTTCAGAGACAGAAGAACGTTTACTTCCATCGGAGAAAGATGTATCATCGGTTTCGAATTGGTAAGCAATACAGTGTATGAAACGAATGGATTGAGTGGTGATACGTTAGAAAAGGCTGAAAAGAAAATTGTGCGTGCGTCAGTGGCGTAATTAAGGGTGAGCAGTGGGTGTTAAACTTGCGGGCTCCAGAAGAAACATAATATTAATAATAATTCGAATTGTATATCGCTTTAATATAAAATTATCAGCCAACGATGCCATTTCAACCAAACCATTTATATTTTCACAATTTTTTACCATATAAATTTTTAAAAAGTCTTTGAAAACACATTACTCGATAAGAACTAATATCTACATTACTTCTTTGTAAAATTCTGGTTATATCGTGTTTTAAATTTTGTACTTATATAATTGTAGTACAAAAGTAAATATTATATTTGTTAAAGAGCGCCAGAATACGTCATCCTTGAAACATTTAATACGGATGAGTAGATGGTTTGGAAATACGTAATTGGCTAACGAATTACTGATTTTTTTAAAATAATACCGGTTTTTTGACATCAATACATTGGTGTTAAAAGCGGTTCTGGCGATATTGTGGTGGTTGAGCGTCGCGTCGAGCGAAGGCGACGTCGTCCGCAACGAGGACGTCTGCGGGCCTCAGAATGGTCGACGACTGTACCTGGAGCTAGGGGAGAAGGGTATTCTATATGCGAAGAACGTTTCCGTTGCGAAGAACGAAGCTAGACAAGACAGGTCACGCAGTTTCGCGAGCAACAGTTCCCATGCCCAATGCAGTCTCGAGCTGGTGACCTGTCCATCCTGCGTTATTATTGTTACCTTCCAACACGTTGGTTTGGCTCATCATTGCGGCGATGGTAGCGTTGTGATGGACAGCCCGTGTAGGTAAGTTGGCGCCAAGTATGAGTTATATGTAACGATATCTAGAGACGCGGTAGCGTCTTGTCGTCAAGTACATGAAAAATTATACGCCACCGTGTATACTGGCGCTGGCGCTACCACGTATCTTTTACTCGTAAAACTGCGATTCCAACCTACCCCGAAACTTCTGTCATTAATATCTCGTCACGCCTGCTGTATTTTCTAAATCCAAAGGCATTTTTCTAATGTAAATCGTACATAAGCTTTCGAAACAACCAAAATTAATAAAATCGGTCCACGAACGACAGAGATATCGTAATATCATATCATGAATGTGTCAAAAACGGCAGCGTTTTTCTTTTTCTTTGACAAGGAATTTTTCGTCAACACTTAGCCAATAGGAGCTAAGGCCATTCGTCGATTCGTCGACTCTTAGAATCAGTCGGCAAGGCTCGTCGGTCGGAATTGTAATATGGCTGCCGCTCATGCCTTTCGTTCATTTTTAATCTGTATAACCTGTCAGTTTGGATTTGTGACATTTGGTTTCTTGCAACAAGACTTTCTGACATGCATTATGCGTACTTTTGAAAACTTAAAGGACTGAAACTGGAATTATAATACAATAAATTGTGCGTTACCAATAGTGGAGCTCTTTGTACATTTGCCCACTTTATTTATTAACATTTAAATTTGTTACAACAAGATTTTCTGCCACGCGTTATGCATACTTGTGAATTTTATTCTAATACAATAAATTGTGCGTTACACATAGTGGATCTTTTTCTTTATTTCTCATTTCATTTTTAACATTTCAATTTCTAGCAACAAGACATTTTGCAATGCGTTGTGTGTACTTTGGAAACATAAAAGACTGAAACTGGTATTATAATATAATAAATTGTGGATTAGAAATAGTGGACCTCTTTTTTTCATTTCATACTTCATTTTTAACATTTAAGTTTGTTACAACAAGACTTTCTGCCTTGCGTTCTGTGTGCTTTTGAAAACTTAAAGGACTGAATCTGTTATTGTAATATAATAAATTGTGCGTTATTCATATGACATTAATTTTATTTGCAAATAACACATATAAACCTTGTTTTACTTGCAAATTAATGTAGAGCTTAAAATAAAAATACATTAGTCTTTTATTATAGTAAGCATAGAGTCTAGAATGTACATAATGTGTCTGAAGTAAAAGTATGCACAACACAGGACAGAAAGTCTTGTTCCAAGAAATTTATATGTTACTGATAAAGTGGATTACAATAATATAGAAAAAGAGAGGTCAGACTTAGTCCTTTAAGTTCTCAAAAGTATGCACGAGACATGACAGAAAGTCTTGTTACATTTAAATGTTACTGATAATGTTACTAATAAATTTCTTACAATGAGACTTACTGCAATGTGTTCCACGTATTTTTGAAACCTTAAAGGATTCAAACTGATCTCTAATTTTCTATATTATTGTAATACAATAAATTATCTATTACAAATAGTGGATCTCTGTTCATTTTCTCATTTTCTCATTATTTAAATTTGTTACAAGATTTTCTGCCATGCGTTCTGTGAATGTATGAACTGTATTCTAATACAATAAATTGTGTGTTAGAAATAGTTGATCTCTTTATTCATTTCTCATTTCTTCTTTAATAAATTTCTTGCAATGAGACTTCCTGCAATGCTTTCCGCGTACTTTTGAAACCTTAAAGGATTCAAACTGATCTCCCATTTTCTATTATTTAAAATCATTCACTATACAAATTATCTTTGTAAAAAAAAGTGAGATCCCCATAGAAAACTTCAAGAAAGTAAAAAAATTACACCAAGTACATGAAAATAGGAGGACTCAAGGAGTTATCATAGAAAAATAAAAGATCCCCATAAAAAACTACAAGAAAGTAAAAAAAGATGTGAAATCAAAATGAGCTGCCAGTACATGAAAGTCCTTTCCAATAAAGTGCGAAGGCGACACTGTGTAACACAATGTAAAATTCTGTGGTTTCCAACTATGCGCAGCTAAAATGCTGTGTTCAACAGTGCGGACGTTCAGATTCTAATGACAATTCATGTAAAGTGACTGCTCCGCACTTTGGTGGTGAAATGAAGAAGTAAATAGCGTATCATCCACAAACTGAGGCTGTTTAAAAATTTGCCTAGATGTCCACGGCCTGGAAGTCAAATGCTTGGCGTAACTAGGCAAGGCATTCTCAGATCATCAATATCCATACTTCTTCTCACGCAGGCTTTCACGTAATTTATCAATTCAAAACTCTGGCAATATCAGTACATTTTCATTGTATTGGATTTTCAAATATTTCTAAGGTCATTCATCGACTCCGATATCTTTTCTCTTATAAGCTTTCAGATAATTTGTCAGTTTTAAGCTTTGATAATATGAGTACACTTTCATTAGTATGCGTTTTAAAATAATTCTTATTCATCGACATCTTGACTTTCCCTGGCCACACCAAGCATTTGACTTCCAGACCGCGGACATCTAGGGAAATTTTTAAACAGTCTCAGTTTATGGATGATACGCTATTTACTTCTTCATTTCATCGAATATACAGGGGCTCGCTTGGACCTGAAGGACAGTGCATGGGATAAGTTTCACGGCAAGGGGAATGAAGCCGAAAATAAGGGGGAAAATCACGTCTTCGGACATCTTATTACTTGTGGGGAGAGCTTAGGTGTCTACCGAAAGAAATGGAGAGTCACGAGTTCGATTTGGAGGATCGCACTTTATTCTCTATGCCACGTGTTCCTTTGAATGCGGGAGACGCAACTTTTGTCCGTTATAAAAAAAGGAGAAGGGACGCCAACTTAAAACTAAATTTACCAACTAAGTAACAAAAACTTACTAGCTAACTAAATAACCTATAGTGCTGCGGTCATTGGGCTCTATCCTAACTGGAGTGTGAACTCCTGTAGGAAGAAGTAGAGGCGACGGAGGTCCGAGAGAAATGCAACATGGGTGGTTCCGGTATTATCCTATAGCAAATTTATTTGTAGAGGGGGAACAAACGTACGCCGTAACATAACTTATCCGAGCATCGCTGAGCTTTGTCGAGTGAGTTACTTTCAGATTCT